TATATGTGTGTGGGCGTATGTGTGTGAGCGTGTGTTTAAGTGTGTGTGTGTACGTGTGTGTAAATGTGTGTATTTATGTGCGTGTAAGTGTGTGTTTGTGTGTGCACGCGTGTGTGTCTGTGTGTAAGTGTGTGTGCGCATATGTGTGCCAGCGAGCAAATGCTTCCTCTAAAACACATTCACTTCAGAGTAAACGGAGTCTATGTAAACAGAAGGACTGGAGTTCCCCTCAGCCTGGGGTCAATGAGGTGGGGGAAGGGGGACGAGCATGTGGGGGGGGGGGGAAACGAGCGAGTGAGGGGTGGGGGGGAACGAGCGAGTGTGGGAGCAGCGTATGAGCAAGGGGTGGGGGGTGGGGCATTGTCAGAGGCGCCGACCTTCTGATAAGACCTTAAACCCAGGGCCCTGTTCAGGACAAAATAATAATAATAATCCTTGCATTTGATACAGCGCCTCGTCACGTCATCGAGACGTCTCAAAGCGCTTCACAGGATAGACTCCAAAGTGCAGTGACTGTGTGTTTTGTGGGCGGGACGCAGCGGCCAATTGCGCTCAGCAGTGACCAATTTTATTTGAGGGATTATTGGCCAGGGACTCCGGGAGAGAGAGAGAGAGAGAGAGAGAGAGAGAAAAACTCCCTTCTCTTTTCCAACAGCGTTGCGGGATCTTTAACATCCACCTGAACGGGCAGACAGAGCTGGTTAAACCCCTCGCCCTGACTAACTCTGAAGCTTTAAAGGGATTTGACATTTTAGGCTCTGTCTGAAATGCGAGAATGATTATGATGATATTATTACTGTTATTGCTCTCGCTCCCTCCTGTCTGACCTGCTGGTACATGTGGTGTGTGTTATGTGCACGGCATTTGGCACCTCGCCTGTGTGTGTGTGTGTGACTAGGTATGTATCCTGGCTCAGATGAGCACAGCTGCTGGAATACCTGAGTGTACAGGTAACCTGTTGTACCCACTGCCCTCTCTCCCCCCGCGCCCCCCCCCCATGCACTCAGCCTTCACACCAACACAATGTTGCAGCAACAAAGAACAATAATCCTTTACATTCGATATTTCACATCGAAAATGTGAAAAAGCTTTACGTTTTGTAGGAGTTTCGTCCAGTTGAATTGAAATGAATTTAGACCACCAAACTGAGGTGTGTCTAAGCTGATGCTCCAATACAGCGCTGGGGGGTGTTGCGTTGTCGGAGGTGCTGTCCTTCGGATGACACGTTAAACCGAGGTCCCGTCTGCCTGTTCAGGTGCACGTTAAAGAATCCCCCGGCGCTATTGGGAAAAAAGCTGGGAGTTTCTCTCTCTCTCCCGGTGTCCTGGCCAACAATCCCCCAAATAAAATTGGCCATTCACTCCACGACTTGTTTGTGGGACGTAACTGTGTGCAATTGGCTGCCGCGTTTCACCCACAAAATACACAGCCACTACACTTTGCAGTGTATCCTGTGAAGCGCTTTGAGACATCTCAACGACATGATAAGGCGTGGAGTCCTGTAGCTCAGTGGTTAGAGCACTCGCTTTGCAAGTGAGAGACCTGAGTTCAATTCCAGGCAGAGGGCGAAACCTTGGGCAAGTTTCCTTACTCCACACAGAGCCTAATAATAATCCCTCCAAAACCCAAAACAATAATAAATTGGTCATTTTCAATCCATGACTGTTTGTGGGACATTGCTGTGCGCAATTGGCTGCCGCGTTCGCCCACAAAAAATATACAGTCAATTCACTTTACACTGTGTTCTGTGAAGCGCTTTGGGATGTCCTCCCGACGTGAAAAGCGCTATATCAAATGCAAGGATTATTATTATTATTATTAATTGGCGCACAGCAGCGTCCCACAAACAGCCATGAGAGAAGTCAGGGAGTATTCAGTGCTTTCAGGATTTAAGAACACAAGAATTTGCTGGCCAAAGAAGATCGAGGTCCATCTAGTTCGCCTTCCACCATTCCGGCAGTCGCTTGACATGTCGTGTCCCAAAACTATACACTGTATCCCCAGATATTATTCCCCAACAGAAATCTATCTCATTTGTTCTTGAAAGAATCGACGCTTTAGGCTTCGCCGTCTGGCTCGCCGGGGAGCCTGTTCCATTCGACTCACTCACTGAATTGATGTTTCCGCAGATTGGTTGTGAATTCACTCCCGTTCAATCGCAGGCCGTGTCCTCTGGTTGTGCCGTATAACAACGTGTAAGATTTCTTGTAACTGTGGGAATGTCCATTGCCGGGCTTTTGGGTGGGGGGAGAGGCGTGGGTTTGTGGTGGAGCTGTTCCCAGCTGGTGGGTCTCAGTGCCTCACATCAGCCTGACGTTTTCTCCCCTGAAATCAGTTTCAGATGGTGATCGTGTAACTGAGGGCTGGCCTGCAAAGTCAAAACATCTGTCTCTCTATTGCCATGTGTTCCTTCCCTGTGAAATTCCCAGTCCATGTTGTGCTATTAGGAATAGAGTGGGGGGGAGCGAGCACCAGCACAGCCACGATGGGGGGGGGGGGGGAAGAGAGAGAGAGAGAGAGAGACTGAGAGCAGGGAATGGGGTTAAAGTAGAGAGTTCCAGTGGGGGAGCAAGCGAGGGAGGGAGGGAGAGCGAGTGAGGTTAGACCACACTGTGTGTGATTATCTGAAGCCCTGGGATCTGTGTGTGTTGACACGCAAACACCGGTATCTCTGGAATGCACCGAGAGGGGTTGAGTTCAGCCTACAGGCCGCTCGCTGACTGTGCACAACCAAACCCCAGCCTCGTCAGCCTAACCCTTGCGGTGAGCCAAGCACAGAGAGCAGAGACCTGCCAACACACGGACCCCCCCCCCCACACACACACACACACACATCCCCAGCCTGGCCCGGCCTGGGGTTAGGGTGGAGAGCTTCTGCAGCAGAGTGGGGGTGGGGGGGGAATAGTGAGCACCAGTCCCCTCACCAACAGACGAGTGGCAGAGAAACACTAGATAGTGAGTGAGCAGGACGTGCTGTATCTGGTGTTCCTCTGCCACTCGTCTGCTCCCAGTATTGCTGCTGGGAAGGGTGGGGGGGGGTGGGCTTGGGAGAGGGGACACATGTGGAGCTGTGTGAGAGCTGTCGGGAGATGGGTTGAACCCAAGAAGGGGGTTGGGATCAGAGAGAGGGGTGGAGGGCAGAGAAGGTGTGGGGTTGGGAGGTGGGAGGGTGACCGAAGGTGCAGTGAGAAAAGGAAGGGTCTTGAGACGGGCCTTGTGGGGTGTGGGGGGGGGGGGGGGGGGCGAGGATGGAGTTCCAGAGGGTGGGGCAGAAAGGCTGAAGGCCCGAACGGTGATGGTGGGGGGCGGGCAGGTTGGAGATAAAGAGCGGAGCCAAGGGAAAAGGAGAGAGAAGGGAAGGGAAATGATATTTTTGGGGGGGGGTTTGAGGGGGGAGGAAGGCGGGGAGAAAGGACCGGGTGTGTTGGCAGCCCGTTGCTATGGTAACTCGTCACATCAGCTACTCCGTTGCCATGGCATCCCCTCTCGAGCATCCCTAGTCAGTCTGCTCTCCGCAGCTCTGAGTATTAACTCTTCAAGGGGGTTCAGCGTCTATATATTGCTTTATTCGTGCCCGGGGACGGGTCAGGTTCCCCCCACCCACCACCCCAGGGAACAACAATAACAACAATAATCCTTGCATTTGATATAGCGCCTTTACGTGTGGTTGAGACGTCTTAAAGCGCTTCACAAAACATACTGTAAAGTGGGGTGACTGTATTTGTGGGCGAAACCTGGCAGCCAGTTGCGCACAGCAGCGTCCCGCAAACAGCCATGGAGTGAGTGACTGATTTTATTTGGGAGATTGTTGTCCAGGACACAAGGACAGAGCGCGAGAGAGAGAGAGAGAGAAACTCCCTTCTCTTTTTGAATAGTGTAGCAGGATCTTTAATGTCCACCTGGACAGGCAGACGGTGCTGTGAGCGCCTGAGGTCAAACCTAGTTACCGGAGGAGGGGAGTCTGTCTCTCCATTGATATCAATGTATGTGTAAGAGAGAGAGAGAAAGAGGAGAGAGAGAGAGAGAGAGAGGGAGGGAGGGAGGGAGGGAGGGAAAGAGGAGACAGAGAGGGAACAGGAGGAGAGAGGGAGAGTTAAAGAGGAGAGAGAGGGGGGGAAAGAGGAGAGAGAGGGAAAGAGAGGGGAAGCCATTTTGGCAATTGGATCCATGACATATTTGGGTAACAGAAACCTGGTTAACCTTGTATTTGATGGGAGTTTCCCTTTCATTCCTTCTCTTACCCCCTCCTCCTGGTCTTTGCCCCTTCCCCAACTCCCTCTTGTCAAGAGCAGGCGGTGAGTGAGGTAAACACTACCCGGGAGTGGGGTGGGGGGAGAAAGGAAACGACATCTGTTCCCTGGGTATTTGTCGGCCAAATTTCCTGTTTATACGCAACCAATTTGGAGTAGGAACAAACACAAGCCATTGCCAGGCTCCTCTGTCCCACTGTTTGGGGCTGTGATGGGGGGGGTCTTGCTGTGATCTGGGGCGATGATGTGCGGTGTCACCCCTGGTGGAGAAGAGCTGAGAGAGAACCATCCCATCAAACAGAGAACCGACTGGGAAAAGCTTTCCCATTTCCCAGCAGTCCTTCATATGAGATGTTAAACCCGGGGACCCGTCTGTGCGCTCTGCGGGCGGGTGTTAGAGATCCCGCGGACCTGTTGGTAAAGAGGAGCTCCTCTTTCCTGGCGCCTTGGCCAACAATCACTCAGGATATAATAATAATAATCATAATAATCATAATCATTCTTCTATTTGATATAGTGCGTTATCACCTCTTTTGATAATGGGTCATTCGCTTCATTCATGGCTGATGCGTTCGCCCACAAAACACACAGTCACTACACCTGACAGTGATTAGCTGTGAAGTGCTTTGGGAAGGTTGTGCTGTAAAATGTAAGGTCTTGCCTACAGCAGGAATAAAGTAATTGTTCTCCTGAGATCTCCCCTGAGGGCCACAGAGAGGGGGGTTGTGCGGGGTGGGGGGGGGATAGGAGGGGGCGGAGGGGCTCCACTGAGCAACAATTGAGTTAATAGCCAAACACGAGGTCATCGTCCCAGCCAGTGACCCCGAGCTCTGACCTAGTCAGGATGCGAGTGAGCGAGCTGGGAGACACTCACTGAAGGAAGCAGAGTGTTAGCATTTCAAGAAGAATTTTTCTGTCCAGTAAAAATTCCCCACCGCCACCCCCACTCCACCTTCCTCCGAACCCCAAAGTGTGTCTGTGTTGGTGCTCACTCCCCCACTGGAGCTCTCTATAATAATGATATGATATAGCGTTGCATTTGATGTAGTGCCTTATCATATCATTGAGACATCTCAAAGTGCTTCACAACATATATCGTAAAGTGGATTGACTCTGTATTTTGTGGGCGAAACGTGGCAGCCAAGTGTCCCACAAACAGTCATGGATTGAGTGACCAAATTATTGTTATTGTTATATTTAATTTTTTAAGGGATTATTACCCCCAGAAAGTGATCACCAATCAACTAACCACCGGGTACCTACTTATTGCTGGTAAACAGAGGCATGGGGTGTGGAGGAAGGAAACTTAACTAAGGTGTTGCCCTGCCTGGGAATCGTACCCGGTGTGTGCTGAGGGTTGTTGGTGCTGGTGATGGCTGACACTGTCTTCACTCACTGACATTAAGAACAATCTGTTGTTTATTCTCAGGACCAGCTGAGGTTCCCATGATGTCACCCAACGGGTCCATTCCACCCATCCACGTGCCTCCTGGCTACATCTCACAGGTGAGCGCACATCCTTCATGCCTCTCCTTCACCCCCAAACGCCTTCATTCCGCCCATCTCCCACTCTTTCCCCACCCCCTTCCTCTGTACCCATGCCTTCAGTCACACTTCCGCCCCCACCCTCCCTACCCTCCACTACTCTTGACTCTAGCCCCCAGCCCCCAGCTTGGGTGCAAACTCTTCACTGTCCAGCGCCTTGGGACGTCCTCCCGTCGTGTGAAAGGTGCTGTGTAAATGTCATTTGTTGTTGTTTTGGTGTCCCAGTTACACGCGTGGGTAAGAACACGCTTTGCTTGTGTGTTGCAGGTGATCGAGGACAACACGGGTGTGCGACGGGTGGTGATCACACCTCAGTCCCCGGAGTGTTTCCCCCCCAGTTACCCCTCGGCTCTCTCCCCCACCCCACACCTGCCCCCCTACCTCGCACACCACCCCCAACTCCTGCCCCACTCGCACACAGCCTACTACCCCCCTGTCACTGGCCCCGGGGAGCTGCCCCCACAGTTCTTCCCGCAGCATCACATCCCCCCCACAATCTACGGGGAGCAAGGTAAGACCCGGCACATGGCACACGGCTGTAACAAACATCTCGTATCCTGACCACATGTGCTTGACGGTGATCATGCATGTCGTACAGTGACCATGCGCTCCGAACCGTGGTCACACATGCCATATGGTGGCCACACGTCATATGTTTCTAGCGTGATAACCGTGAGCCGGTTGGTGCGCATGGGATCTGACCACCACAGGCGCTGGACCATTGTTGTTTGTGGGGGACACATTGAGGAGGGAGAGAGCGTGATCCCGGGGGGGGTTGGGGGGAGTGGGATGGGATAGGGGTTGCGAAGCAGGAAGGGAGCAAGGGAGAGGAGCGAGTGGGAGAGGAGGGGCGAGCGAGGGGGGGAGTGAGAGAGAAGGGGTGCTAGAGGGTGGAGCAAGGGGGAGGAGGAACAGGGGATGTGAGGAGGAGGGGGCGAGCGAGGCAGGAGGGGAGCGAGGGGGGAGCGAGGCAGGAGGAGGAGGACTGAGGGGGGGAGGAGGGGGAGGGGAGGTGTTGGGCTGGGAGGAGAGGGGGAGTGAGGCAGGTGGGAAGGAGTGAGATGGGATGCGTGTGTGTGAGGCGGGTTTTGGCTTCCGGTGATTGTCCGGTTTCTCGGCAGAGATCATCCCGTTGTACGGCATGTCCAACTTCCTGAGCCGTGAGGAGACGTTCGGCAAACAACACAAGAAGCTGAAGATCGACCGGCAAAACCGGCTGAACAGCCCCCCCGTCTCCATCTACAAGAGCCACGTCGCCCCCTGCACCACCCTCTACAACGGCTACGGGAAACCCCTGGGCCTGGGCGGGGGAGGGGGAGGCACCCCCATCAAGAAGACGGAACGGAGAGCCAGGAGCAGCCCGAGGATCAACGAGCAGGACATTCACGGTGAGTGAATCGTCTCAACGATGTGGTAAAGGACTATATCAAATACAAGGATTATTATTATCCCTCGCACCCCTTCCCTTTCCTGTCTCCCCTTTCTCTTCCCCTGTCCTCTGTCCCCTCCTCCTATCCCCTCTTCTCCTTCTCTCTCCTCTCCCTCCCCTCCTCTCCCATCCCTCCCTCTCTCCCTCCCTCCCCTCCTCTCCCCTCCCTCTCTCCCCTCCGCTCTCTCCTCTCCCTCCCCTCTCCACTCTGTCCTCTCCCTCCCTCTCTCCCCTTCCCTCTTCCCCTCGCCCCTCCCTCGCGCTCTTCCCACCCCTCATTTCCTCCTTTCTCCCCTCTTTTCCTCCCTTCCTCCTCTCCTCTCTCCCCTCCCCTCCTCTCTCCCCTCCTCTCCTTTCTCCGCACACTGCTACTCTGTAAGCCTGTGCTGTGCTGTGTGGGGTTGTGGCCATTGAATGAGTGTGTTTGTGGCAGTGTTTCTCTTGGCCGGGGCCTGGCTGGCTGAGACACTGTTTTCCTTGGCGGTTTTCCAGGAACGTCCGAGTGTCGGGTCCCGAGAAGATCCGATCCGGATAAACACTGAGAAGCTTCTGAGCAGAATCCTGTCACCTTCCCAACACGTGGGCAGAACTGGTCCAGGTTTCTGGTGCCTCTATCTCCCCTCTCTTTCCTAGATTAATAATAATCCTTGCATTTGACACAGCGCCTTATCACATCTCAAGACGTCTCAAAGCACTTCACTGAAAATACTGTATGGTGTAGTGATTGTAAATTTTGTGGGCGAAATGTGGCAGCCAATTGCACACAACAGTGTCCCTACAAACAGAGCGACAGACACAGAGACAACCAGTCTGTGTTTATCTCCCACACATCCCCTCCCCACTATCCCCCTCTCCATTCCCTTCTCAGCGCCTTGGGACGTCCTCCTGACGTGAAAGGCGCTTTATAAATGGAATCTTGTTGTTGTTGTTGTTGTTCTCCTACATGGATTCAACAAGGTCTCCAGTAGCAAGTTCAATGAGATCTACGGTCATCAGTGGGCAACTGCAATGCTTCAATTCCAGGACAGGGAGCGAGAGAGCAGGGAATGGGGTTAGAGTAGAGAGCTCCAGTGGGGGAGCGAGTACCAGCACAGACACCATGGGGAGAGAGCAGGGAATGGGGTTAGAGTAGAGAGCTCCAGTGGGAGGGTGAGCACCAGCAAAGACAGGATGTGGTGGGTGTGTGGGGTGGGAGGTGTTTGGGGGTTGGGGGAGGTCTCGAGTCGGCCTTGCTGCTGTGGTTTATGTGATGTGCGATGGTCAGAGGGAGTCTGTGTGAATGAAGAGACTGAACAAGTGAATGCGGTGCTGGAGAGAGAGAGAGAGCAAGCGAGCGCGAGCGAGTGCGTGGAACCCAGAATGGCCACACCAGGTTATTGAGACTGGGCCAGTGTGCATCTCGCTGCCCACCCAGAGTTGCGTAAACACCACCACAGCCTCGCCCCGGCTAATCACAGGCTTTTCTTGTTCAAACAGCTCCTGACTGTAACTCACAGCCTCCAGTGTTTGATATATAAACCATGGCAGCCCCCCGCACTCAGCACAGTGAGGGGCTCTCCTAGGCAACACACTCACTGCTCTGTGTGCTGTCTGTGTGTGTGTGTGTGCGGGTCTGCGTGTGTGAATGTGTGTCGGTTTATCTGGGTGAGTGTCTGTGTATGTGTGTCTCTGTGGGTGTGTGTTTGTTGTCTGTGTGTGTCTGTGCAGGTCTGGGTGTGCGTATGTGAGTGTCTGTGTGTGTCAGTTTGTCTGTGTGTGCATCTGGAAATATGCATGTGTGTGAGTGTGTTGTCTGTAGGTCTGGTTGGGAGACGCTATACAAATGTAATTTTCTTATTATTGTTGGTTGAATCATAGAATCGTAGAATTATACAGCACAAAAGGAGGCCATTCAGCCCATCATGTCAGTGCTGGCTCTTTGAAAAGAGCTTTCAATTCAACCACACTCCCACCTCTCTCCCCATATTCCTGATCAACCCCACTCCCCCGCTCTCTCCCCACAACCCTGATCAACCCCACTCCCCCGCTCTCTCCCCACAACCCTGATCAACCCCACTCCCCCGCTCTCTCCTCATAGCCCTGCTTTTTCCTCACCTCCTCTGTTTCTTTTAACATCCATTTTAATGGGTGTCCTCGGGTTACCGACCCACCCACCAGTGGGAATAGTTTCTCCTTGTTCACCCTATCGAATCCCCTCATAATTTTGAAAACTTCTATTAAGTCGCCTCTTAACCTTCTCTGGTCCAAGGAGAATAATCCCGGCTTCTCTACCTCTCCTGATAACTGAAGTCCCTCATTCCTGGTACCATTCCGGTCAATCTCCTTTGCATCCTCTCCAATGCCTTGACATCCTTCCAAAAGTGTGGGGCCCAGAACTGAACACAGTCACTCGCTGAGGCCTAACCAGTGGTTTAACACTCCAGCTTAACTCACTTCTAAAGTTCAGAACACGCCTGGTATGAAGGCGTGCACTCAGACACGCACACACACAATACACACAGACATGCAGACAGAGCTGGTGCCTTGTTCTCCTGGTGCTGTGTTATGGTGTGTGAGGGGTTAATGAGGCCGGTCTGGCCTCAGTGTTTGAGTTGGTCTCAGTTGTGCCAGAACTCGCTGCCTGGCTTCAGCCTCGCAAATCACACAGCGCTGCCTCCTGGCTCCTGGCCGAGCCCCAGCCTCCACCCCCCTCCCAACCGCCTGTTCCTGCTGTAACGCGTGTCTCTGTGGGGGGGTGGGGGCGGGGAGTGGGCATTGAAGGCTAATTGTGAGCACAGCCAGGACCTTGTGAGGTGATCGGCCAATTCATTTGAAGGATTGTTTTCCAGCCCCAGGCACATCAGGTTGACATGCACACACGTGCGCCTCGCACACACATATCCTTCACACACACGTGTTCCCCCGTACACACATGTCCTTCGCACACACGTGTCCCTCGTACACACGTCCTCCTTCGCACACCCGCGTCCCTCGCGCACACATGTCCCCCGCGCACAGTGCCAGCTCCAGGAGTAGCGTGTGATGATCTGTGTGAATGTGTGTGTCGCGCTCTCTCTCTCTCTCTCTCTCTCTCTTTCTCACACAGTCTCTCGCTCTGTCTCACACTAATTCTCTCACTCACGGTGTGATCGCCTGCGTATAAACCGCAGCACAGCATCGGGAGTGGGGGAGAGGAGGGAAATGGGGAGGTAAAGAAAGCGGAACCCGGATTTTGAATTAAAAGGCTGAGAGTTTCTCCCCAAACAATGCAATGAAATCGTTAATAGGAACAGAAGCGGCCGGGAACACTCAGCGGGTCAGGCAGCATCTATGGAGAGAGGAATGTGAACCAACGATGACCTTATATTACTGGGATAAAAACAGAAGTCGCTGGGAACCCTCAGCAGGTCAGGCAGCATCTATGGAGAGAAGGGATTCCTTCTCTCCATAGATGCTGCCTGACCTGCTGAGGGTTCCCAGCGACTTTTGGTCATCGACCTGAAACATTAACCCACTTTCCTCTCTCCGTGGATGCTGCCTGACCCGCTGAGTGTTCCCGGCCGCTTCTCTCCTCATTCCAGATTTCCAGCATCTGCCCCGTCTTTCCCCTTTTGTCTCACAAAAACGGTTAATTTTTTTTTGTGTAAACCGAAAACAGAAGCCAATTCTCCTCCAGAGAATTACCCTCTCTCTGGGGGTAATAATCCCCTCCGAAAAAAGAAGAACGCTAATAATGTGGTCGCTCGGTCCACCTCTGCTTGTGGGACGTTGCTGCGGGTGCCGCATTTCGCCCCTAAAATACGCAGTCAATTGCACATGGCGGTGTGTCCCGTGAAGCGCCTCGAGGCGCCGCGGAGGCGCAACGAGGCGCTGCACCAAACGCGAGGATTACGTTGATTATTATAAGGGTCACGGTGAGATACGAAGCTGGGTGTGTTATCGGGGTGGGGGTGCGGGGGGTGCGGGGGGGGGGGGGGCGCGGTGTGTGCGACAGACTCCTGGCGCCCTCTGCTGGTGGCTCGGGGGTAATTAACCCCCACTTTTATTTAGTTCCAGACTACGACATGGAAACGAAACGGCTCCAAGATTTGCTCTCGGGAGTGGGGAAACCACAGGTATGCGCGGCTGACTTGGGACTGTTGTTGGAAAAATATCTCTGGACAAGGCAGGGGAGTGAGCGCCTCAGCTCAGCAAACGCCTGGAACCGGGACAAGAGTTTCCACGTCCGACGACTGCGTGTTGTTTACACGGTGCCTTTCCCCGCAGGACACACGGCTCACAGCCACTCGCGGTGATGCAATAACAACAACACGTTACATTTACACGTCGCCTCTCGCCTCGGGACGTCCCAAAGGAGCTGGACAGTCAGGGATTTGGTCCCGAGCCGGGGGTTGGGATCGGGCGGGCGGGGCGATGGGGGGGTGCGAGTGTGGGGGTTAGGATGTACTGGAGGTGTAACAGTGAGCGGAGGCTGAGGTGGTCCTGTCTCTCCCCAGATGTCGAGTGTACAAGCCAGGACTGTGCTGCTCACCTGGGCCCCACCCTCCGGCCTCAGCAATGGTGACAAACACAGCTCTGGGCCGCCCTACACCTGCTGCTTCGAGGTGGTCCTGTCGGACAAGGGCCGTGAGGGCAAGTACAAGGTCATCTACAGGTGAGGCCACCCGCGGGGGGCACCAAGGTCACTCCCCCCCACCCGCTCAGCCACCCCCCACCCGCTCAGCCTCCCCCCCACCCGCTCAGCCTCCCACCCCCCACCCGCTCAGCCTCCCCACCCCCCACCCGCTCAGCCACCCCCCCACCCGCTCAGCCACCCCATCACCCGCTCAGCCTCCCACCCCACCGCTCAGCCACCCCCCACCCGCTCAGCCTCCCCACCCCCCACCCACTCAGCCTCCCCACCCCCACCCGCTCAGCCACCCCCCACCCGCTCAGCCTCCCCACCCCCCACCCGCTCAGCCTCCCCACCCCCACCCGCTCAGCCTCCCCACCCCCCACCCGCTCAGCCACCCCCCACCCGCTCAGCCTCCCCGCCCCCCACCCGCTCAGCCTCCCCACCCCCCACCCGCTCAGCCACCCGCCACCCGCTCAACCTCCCCCCCACCCGCTCAGCCACCCGCCACCCGCTCAACCTCCCCCCCACCCGCTCAACCTCCCACCCCACCCGCTCAGCCTCCCCCCACCCGCTCAGCCTCCCCACCCCCCACCTGCTCAACCTCCCCCCCACCCGCTCAGCCTCCCTCCCCCACCACCCGTTCAGGGTAGGGTGCGTGGATATGCATGTGTGTGTGTGGGTGTGTGTGTATATGGGTGCGTGTGTGCATGTGTGGGTGTGTGTATGTGTGGGTGTGTGCATGTGTGTGGGTGTGTGTATGTGGGTGCATGTGTTTGTGGGTGGGTGTGGTTATGGGTGTGGTTGTATGTATTTGGGTGTGTATGTGGGTGAGTGTGTGTATGTGTGTATGTGGGTGTGTGTATGTGAGTGTGTATGGGGGGTGGGGTGTGTATGTGGGCGTGTATGTGGGTGTGTGTATGTGTGGCTGTGTATGTGGAGGGTGTGTGTGTGTGGGTGTGTGCTTGTGGGTGTGTGTTTGTGGGTGTATGTGTGTATTTGTGTGTGTGTGTGTAACACTAACTCTCTCTGTGCTGTAGTGGGGGTGACCTGCAGTGCAGCCTGAAGGACCTGAGGCCGGCCAGCGAGTATCACGTGAGGTGAGAGCCTGACCCTGGGGGGACATGAACCTCTCCACCCCCCCCCCATCCCCCCATTACTCTCTCATTCTCTCCCTCTCTCTCATTCTTTCTCATTCTCTCTGTCTCTCTCATTTCCTCTCTCTTTCTTTCTCACTCTCTCACACTCTCTCTCATTCTCTCTCACTCTCTGTCTCTCTCATTCCCCCTCTCTCTCTCTCTCTCTCTCACTCTTTCTCACTCTCTCATATCCTCTCACTCACTCTCTCTCTCTCTCTCGTTCTCTCTCTCACAGAGTTTCTGCCGTCTGCAATTCAATAAAAGGATCGTATTCGGAGCCGCTCAGCTTCACCACCCACAGCTGCTCCCCCGACACCCCCGCACCCCCCAAACTCACCCACCGCAGCAAGAGCACCCTCACACTGCAGTGGAAGGTGAGCACATAGACTGGTGTGTACGTCACACTGTGTGTGTGTGTGTGTGTCTCTGTGTCTGTGGGGTGGTGTTTGTTGGTGTGTGGGTCGGGGAGGTGCGGGTGCGGGGGGGGTGGGTGGGTGGGGGGTGGTGGTGGGGGAGGGGGTGCGGGTGGGGGAGGGGATGCGGGTGGGGGAGGGGGTGTGGGTTTGGGGGGTGTGGGTGGGGGGTGGGGGAGGGGATGTGGGTGGGTGGGGGGGTGTGGGTGGTGGATGGGGGTTGTGGGGGGGGGTGGGATGGGGTGGGGAGGGGTGTGGGTGGGGTGTGGGTGGGGGGGCGGGGGGGGTCCTGGGATGGTGATGACTCACTGTGACCTCCTCTCTTGCTGACTCAGGCTCCGGCCGAAAATGGCTACAAAATCACCAGTTTCCTGCTGGAGTGGGACGAGGTGAGTGACAACAACAGTGACGTTTACACAGCCTTCCACGTCAGGAGGACGTCCCAATACCCTGGACAGTCGGGTTTGGACCCGAGCTGGGGGTTGGGCTAAGGAGGGGATGGGGGTGAGGGGAGGGTGGGGGTAGGAGGGTGACCAAAGGCTCGGTCGAAGAGGAGGGTCTTGAGACACGTCTAGAATGAGGCGAGGGAGGGGCGAGGCGAAGGGACTGGGGGAAGGAATTCCAAGGGGTAGAAGCAGGGAGGGTGAAGGCCTGACCCCCGATGGCTGAGCGGGGGTGGGGGGTGGAGCAGGCCAGAGGGTTTCGGTGGCCTGCGGTGCGAGATGTTGGCGGAGCCGGGCGATGTGGCAGAGTGGGTGATGGCGCGGATGTGGGGTAGAAAGGACAGTTGAGGGTCAAACAATATCCCAAGGTTCTGGACCGGCTCAGTGAGGTGGAGTGAGCCCCATGGATGGTGATGCTGTCAGCGTCTGAGGTGAGGAGGCGCTGACCGGAGCCAATCAGGAGATCCTCGGTCTTGTTGATGTTCAACTGGAGAGCGTTAGCTCTCATCCAGGACTTGATGTCTGACAGAGTCCTGGAGTCAAGGGTGGAGGCAGAGAGATAGAGTTGGGTGTCATCCGCATATGTGTGGAAGTTGACCCCATGTCTGAGGATGACGTCACGGAGTGGGAGGGAGTGTGTAGGTATTAATGAGTGACTGGTACGCACGTGCTCGTTAGCTGATTGGTCTTCGCTGTGAGCAGGGCAAGAGGAACAGCGGATTCCGGGAATACTATTGTGGGAACCAACGACACTGTAAACTCACCAAACTGCTCCCTGCAGTGGGCTACACCTTCCGCTTGGCCGCCTGCAACGATGTGGGCACCAGGTAATCATCCTCACAGTCCCTGCATTTGACACAGCGCCTCATCCCGTCTTCGAGTCTCAAAGCGCTTCACAGGATAGACTGTAAAATGAATTGACTGTTATTTTGTGGGCAAAACGCGGCAGCCAATTGCGCACAGCAGCGTCCCACAAACAGTCGTGGATTGAAGAGAACAAGATATTTTTATTGGAGGAATTATTACCCCCAGATAGTGATCCGCCAATCGACTAACAGCCAGGCTCCTACTTACTGCTGGGAAACAGAGGCGTGCGAGTGTGGAGTAAGGAAACTTGCCCAAGGTTCAGCCCTGACCTACCGGGAATCAAACCCAGGTCTCCCGCTAGCGAGGCGAGTGCTCAAGCCACCGAGCTACAGGACTGCATGTCCCCCAGCGCTGCTCACACCTGAGCGTAGGCTTCGGGAAGCCCTGGGGACGTGTTGTCAGCCCGGCTCAGCCTCTCACTCTCGCCCCCCGACAATGTAGCGCTCTCTCTCCCCACAACCCTCCGAGCGTCAGGGGAGAGAGAGCTCCACATTGTTGGAGACGCCGTCCTTTGGATGAGACGTTAAACCTCAGCTGCTCTGCACTCCTGTTCAGGTGAATGTTCCAAATCTCCCACAACATTGTTAGCGTGTACACGGAGCGTGGTGTTAGCGTGTACACGGAGCGTGGTGTTAGCGTGTACACGTGTATACTGTAATCTCATTTGTTTATCCCTATTTATTTTGCCTGTTCTCCTGCCTCTCTCTCGCTCTATCCTCGCTCCCCCCCTCTCTCCCCCCTCCTCTCTCTCTCACCCCCACTCTCCCACCCCTCCCCCTCCCCCTCTCTCTCTCTCTCCCCCTCACCCCCTCTCTCTCTCCACAGCGGGCTGAGCCAGGAGTTGGTATGTTACACTGCTGGTAACGTGCCGCTGACACCATGTGTGCCACGCCTGGTGCGGGCCGGCGTGACCTGGGTCACGTTACAGTGGAGCCGCGCGGAGACCGGGGCAGACGAGCAGGTCACGTACTCGCTGGAAATGGAAGACGACAGCACGGTGTGTACACGCCAACACCACGCTTCACATACCCGCTAACACCACGCTCCGTGTACACGCCAACACCATGTTCCATGTACACGCTAACACCACGCTCCGTCTACACGCTAACTCCACGCTCCGTGTGCACGCTAACTCCACACTCCGTGTACACGCTAACACCGCGCTCCGTGTACACGCTAACACTGCTCTGTGTGCGTGTTCCTGTGGAAACTGTGACCACACGTCCTGCCCTTGTGATAACGAGTGAATCTCTCTCTCTCTCTCCCGGTGGCAGGTTTGTGGGTTCCAGTCTCGCTACACGGGGGAGGATCTGGTTTGCACGGTGACCGAGCTCCGCAGAAGCACGCAGTACAAGTTCCGGGTGAGTCATAGAAACCTCGGAACATAGGGACAGGAGGAGGCCATCCAGCCCCCGGAGCCTGTTCTGCTATTCTGTTAGATCATAGCTGATCTGTCCCTCAACTCCAATTACCTGCCCTTTGCCCCATATCCCTGGATCCCCCGACCTGACCACCTCAGTCATGAACATGTGAATGGATCCGCCATAATCCACAGCCTTTTGGGGGGGAGAGAGAGAGAGAGAGAGAGAGAGTTGCAGATTCCCACTGCCCCGGAGCCACACTTCCTCCCGGATGCCGTTCAGGACAGAGAAGTCAGAATTTCCTGTGCTCTTAGCCTCAAGGCCACTGGTTGTCTTCAGATTGAAGGCGACGCAGACGCAGAAATTTCACCAAAAAAATCTTCAATTTGTTCTCCCCACCGGGACTTAGAGACGTTTCCCAGATCGAAATTTAATTACATTTACCCTCTATCCCCTCCCTCTCTCACTCCCCACTCCCTCTCTCTTTTTTCTCTCTCCCCCTCTCTTCATTGCACGCTCTCTCTCCCATCTCTCTCCCCTGTCTCACCTCCCCCCCCCCTCTCTCTCTCTCTCCCTCATTCTCTTTATCCCATCTCTCTCTTTCTTCCCAACAAAATACACAGTCACTACACTTTAAAGTATCTTCTGTGAAGTGCTTTTAGACGTCTCAACGAGGTGATAAGGCTCTGTATCTAATGCAAGGATTATTATTATTAGGGAGAGAGGGAGGGAGAGAGAGAGAGAGGAAGGAACAGGGGCCAGGCTGGCTGTGAATTGTATGTTGCCATGTTTATGACGTGTTTGTGACGTGTTCTGACTCCTCGCTGCAGCTGACGGCCTCGAACGCGGAGGGGAAGAGCTGCCCCAGCGAAGTGCTCGTGTGCACCACCAGCCCTGACCGGCCGGGACCACCCTCCAGGCCGCAGCTCAGCGGCCCCCCAGCCTCGCACGGCTTCAGCGTCAAGTGGGGTAGGTAGGCGCGATCTCCGGGCTCACGGGAGGCGGGTGGGGAGGCCGGGAATTCCTCCCACCTTCACAGGAATAATGTTGCTTCTCGTTGCAGACCCGCCTGAGGACAACGGGGGCTCGGAGATTCTCAAATTCCTTCTGGAAATTTCTGAAGGAAGTTCTGAGGGTAGGTGTGTGTTTCCACCCTCCTTCCCCCCCCCTCACCTCACATGTACACGCGTGCACACACAAGCACGGCCACACACACGCACTCACACACGTGCGCACTCACACAAGTGCACACATACGCACGCACTCACTCACACGTGCATGCACACACACACAAGCGTACCCACATACTCACGTGCACACACTCAAACACAAGTTCGCACTCACTCACGCACACACACGCGCTCACACTCACATACACTTACACGTCTCTCACCATCCCCCAGTGAGACACTAAACCATACTCCCTCTCTGTGCCTGTTCGGGGGGTGGCGACGTGGTGGGGGGGGGGGGGGGGGTGCAAATAGAGGCAGGCTCTCTCTCTCTCCTGACTGACAATCCGCCCAAATGACTCAGTCACTTCACTGCTGTTTGGGGGACGTTGTTGTGCTCAGAATCCACTTATAACCTGGGAAGGGCTTTTGAGAGGTCTCAACAACATGACAAACGTGGAATCAGACGATAAGGTTTTTTTTTATTGTTGTTTATTCCCCCCCTTAATGTTTTGAGGGAAATACACTCCCACCTCAGGGGCCGATCCTTGACTGTCCACGGATTTGAAATGTCCTCGCGATGTGTTGTTGTTGAGGTGTGAGGGTGTGGGGGGTGTGTGGGGGGTGTTGGGTGTGGGTGGGGGGTTGGGGGTTCCTGTGGGGGGGTTGGGGTGTGTGTGGGATGGTTGGGTGTGGGTGGGGGTTTGGGGGTGTCTGTGGGGGAGTTGGGGTGTCTGTGGGGGTGTTGGGTGTGTGTGTGGGGGTGTGGGTGGGGTGTTGGGGGTGTCTGTGGGGGGGATTGGGGGTGTGTGTGGGTTGGTTGGGTGTGTGTGATGATGTGTGTTGGAGTGCTGTGTATCGGGGTTGGAGATTGGTGTGTGTGAGGGGGTGAGTGCGAGAGGGAGTGTGTGTGAAGGTGTCTGTGGGGGGCGGTTGGGGTTTTGTGTTGGTGATGGTGAGGGTGTGTGTGGGGTGGGGTGTGTGTGAGGGTGTGTGGGGTGGGGTGTGTGTGAGGGTGTGTGGGGTGGGGTGTGTGTGAGGGTGTGTGGGGTGGGGTGTGTGTGAGGGTGTGTGGGGTGGGGTGTGTGTGAGGGTGTGTGGGGTGGGGTGTGTGTGAGGGTGTGTGGGGTGGGGTGTGTGTGAGGGTGTGTGGGGTGGGGTGTGTGTGAGGGTGTGTGGGGTGGGGTGTGTGTGAGGGTGTGTGGGGTGGGGTGTGTGTGAGGGTGTGTGGGGTGGGGTGTGTGTGAGGGTGTGTGGGGTGGGGTGTGTGTGAGGGTGTGTGGGGTGGGGTGTGTGTGAGGGTGTGTGGGGTGGGGTGTGTGTGAGGGTGTGTGGGGTGGGGTGTGTGTGAGGGTGTGTGGGGTGGGGTGTGTGTGAGGGTGTGTGGGGTGGAGAGGTGATACGGGTGTGTGTGTGGGGGTGTGGTTGGAGGTGTGTGCGTGAAGGTGTGTGTGTGGGGGGGGTGTGAGGGGGTGTGTTAGCTGTGACTGACGCAGTGCCCCCCCCCACCCACAGGCAGCCAATGGGACGTGGTGTACAGCGGCTCCGCCAGTGATCACGTGTGTGAGGGGCTGAAGCCGGGGGCGGTTTACAGGCTCCGTGTCTGCTGTATCAGCACCGGGGGCCACAGCCAGGTAAGCTCCACCCCCACCTACCCCTCTCTAGCCCCCTCCCACCTAACACACCCCCACCACCTAACCCCCCCTCCCCCCCACCTAGTTCCCCTCTCCAGCCCTACCCAAGACAAGCCCTAGCCCCCCCCCACTCCAGCCCCACCCCCACCAGGCCCCGCCCCACCTAACCCCCCCCCCACCCCCCTAGGGGGAGAAACTGAGAAGCGGGGTAAAGCAACCCCAACCCCAATAACACCGTCATAAACTGCCCCACAAGGGGGGGCCGTGCTCGAGCTCAGGACAGGGCAGAGAGAGCGCGGGGTTGGGGAGACAGCACGAGAAAGAGAACGAGAGAGGGAGGACGGGGAGACACAAAGCGGGAGAGAGAGAGAAATGGGAGTGAGAAGGAGAGAGGGGGAGAGAGAGAGGGGGAGGGGAGAGAGATGCGAGAGAGAGAGTGTGCGATGGAGAGAGAGAGTGGGGGAGAGAGAGGGGCGGGGGAGAGAAAAAGAGAGGGAGGGGGAGTGAGAGAAGGAGGCGGTAGAGAGGGGTGTGGAGGAGAACAAAAGAGGGGGGAGTTGGGAGAGAGAGAGAGAGAGAGAGAGAGAGAGAGGATTGTGTGATGAGGAGACCAGCCAGACGGAGAGCGTGATGCTCTCTCCCGCACATGCGTCCGTCAGGGACATATTAATGGGAGAGCGCGAGTTCCCAGTCGGGCTCCGAGTGTGGGCAACGCTATGTGAGGTCCCAGTGTGTGCGCGTGAGCTCACTCACAGCTTCTCAATTACACATGATTAGCCTGACCTCAGGGAACGTGCCGAGGGGAGACTTTCTCCATTGGAGACCTGTAGCTCAGTGGTTAGAGCACTGGCCTCGCAAGTGAGAAGATTTGGGTTCGATTCCCGGGCTGGACAAAACCTTCGGCAAGTTTCCTTCCTCCGCACACGGGCCTCTGTTTACCAGCAGTAAATAGGAACCCGGTTGTTAGTCGATTGGCGGATCGCTTTCCGGCGGTAATAATTGCTTAAAAAAAAAATAATTTGGTCACTCAATCCACACGTGTTTGTGGGACACTCCTGTGTGCAATTGGCTGCCGCGTTTCACCCAAAATATAGTTAATTCACTTTACAGTATATTCTGTGAAGAGCTTTGAGACGTCTCGAAGACTTGATAAGGCACTATATCAAATGCAAGGATTACTAGTAATTCATCAGGTTCTGTGACCCCATCACCCCCACCCTCGCCCAGCTCTACTGGCTCCCCATCCCGCAGAGGATACAGTTCAAAATCCTCATCCTCGCCTTCAAAGCCTTCCACGGCCTGGCCCCTTCCTACCACTGTGACCTGCTAACCCCAGACTGTCCGCTTCCTCTGCTCGGCAGCCTCTGGCCTGCTTCACGTTGCCCACCCAGCCCACCCCCACCATTCAGCCTCTATGCCCCTATGTTCTGGAACTCCATCCCGTAGACCCTCTGCCTCACTCCCTCACTTGGCTCCTTCAAGGCCTGTCTCGAGACCTTCCTTTTCGACTGTGCCGTTGGTCACCCTCCTGGCTGCCTACCACCTTCACTGCCCTCCACCCCTCCTGCTCCCAATCCAACTTGACTGTCCAGCGCCTTGGGATGTCCTCCCAACGGGAAAGTAATTGTTACGAACTCCCTGAGGGTTTCGCAGTACCACACCTCTCCTGTAGGTGGTGCCACAAGACAGCACTTTACACGGTGGGGGGGGGGTGGGTGGGGGTGGAACGAAAGCTCGGTAAAAGGGCTATAAATATTGATATGGGTGGTGTTTCTCCACGGAAGCACAATCAGATCGCGGGACAAATAGGGTGTCTGCGGAATCAGTGGAGGCTTAATTTGGGTGTAGATGGGGGAGGGGGTTGATGGGGTGACTTGGGAAGTCAGGGGCTTGGGGGGGGGTGGGGGAGAGAGAAAGAGGGGATGTGGGGTTAAAGAATGAAATGGTCGTTCACTTCACGGCTGTTTGTGGGGACATCGCTGTGCTCTAGCTAATCGGCTGCCTACAAAACACACAGTCACTACACTTTACAGTCAATCCTGTGAAGTGTTTTAAAACGTCTCAACGTGAAGGGAGCTGTACATATACACGGATTATTATGGTGAAAGTGTTTTGATGGGATGTGCAACAGCTGGTGGAGTGTGTGTGTGTGTGTGTGGGAACGATAGTGAGCTAATGACATGATCTGTCTCTCTCTCCCTCTCTCCTCTCTCTCTGGTTCCAGTGCTCGGACAGCCTGACTGTCCGCACGCTCAGTGTGGCCCCGGGACCCTGCCAACCGCCCCGGCTGCTCGGCAAACCCCGGCACAAAGAGGTGCAGGTGGAGTGGGGTAAGTGCGTCTGCCTCGACTCGGGAGGTTGTGGGTTCGATTCCCACCCCCCCTCCCCCCACTCCCCCTCGCGTTTGGGTCTTTGAGCACACAGAGGAGACACGGCTATCCAGCGAGAGGATTCACCAGAATTATACCAGCGCTTAAGGCGTTAAATTACGAGGACAGGCTGCAGAAACATGGCTTGTTCGCCCTTGAGGTTAGAAGATTGGGAATAATAAAGGGATGGGATAGGATAGCTACCGAGAAACTATAACCTCTGGTGAGTGGGTGTGGGGGGGTGTGTAGGGGTTGGGGCGGTGGGGGAGGAATTCAGAACATGGGTGGGGGCTCATCTTTTTTTGGCGAGTGAAATAAAGACGCAGTTTTTCCCCCGAAAGGGGAGTGGGATCTGGAACTCTCCCATCCCCAAAAGGCCATGGATTATGGCCGGATCCATTCACATCTTCAGCACTGAGGTGGGGAGATGTTTGTCAGCTCGGGATCGAGGGATCCGGAGCAAAGGCGGGTAATTGGAGTTGAGGGACAGATCAGCCATGATCTTACAGAATGGGGGAACAGGCTCGAGGGGCTGAATGGCCCCCTTCTGTTCCTATGAGATTAGGTGAATGCACGGTTTTGCCCGGCGTGAATTGATCAAGATTGTTTGTGCTGGTTCCCAGGCCCCCCGGAGGTCGGTGGTTTAACGGTGACGGAGTACAGCCTGGAGATGAGTGAGGCCGAGCCCGCGGGTGGGGCCGAGGCCATTGGCGGGGCTGGGGGCAGGACTGTGGTTTACCGGGGGGCGGAGCTAGAGTGCACCGTCACCAACCTGCTCCCCGGGACCACCTACCGCTTCCGGCTCAGAGCTGCCAACGATGCTGGGGTGAGTGTCTGAGCCACAGGAACACTGAGCAGGGAGAGAGAGAGAGAGGGGGGAGATCCATCCCAACCGGCGGCCCCAAACTCCACTTGCCTCCACTTCACCGCCTGCCACTTCCCTCCCTCCCTCTCCGACCTCCTCACTCCCCAATCCCCAATCCACCACCCAGTCAGCGCCTCCGCTCGACTGGCACCGGCTCCTGATCGTCCCTCGCACCCTCTGCCCCATCATCGGGAGGCCGTGCTTTCAGCCACTACACCCCAAAACTCTTCAACACTCTCCCTCAATCCCTCCGCCTTGCCCCCTCTTTCAAGTCCCGCCAGAAAACTTTCCTCTCCCCAACCCGGCTCGGAGTCAGGCTCCACACTGTTAAGCCTCTGAGACGTTGCCCTGAGTGAAAGGGGCTATATAAGTGCAAGCTGTTGTTGTTGCCTCTCACCTTCACCAGCACCGACTGCCCACCCCACCCCCCCTTCCCCGCTCGTCCAACCAACACTTGGGCTTGGGAAGGGCCGAGCAGTCACTGGGGGCAGGGAATCCTCCCCCTCAGCTCCTGTTAACCCTGTAGCCAAAGCGCTCACCGGCCAAGCTGTGCGGTTTTTACCCGGGTAGACTCCAGCCGTTACCCCCAACGCACACCCCGGGCTCCCCCCAAACCTGGGCTCTCGCCGGTCTGCGCCGGAATTAGGTGAACAGGAGGTGTCCCTCCAGAGAGAGAGAGAGAGAGAGAGAGAGGGCATTCCATTCCGACAGTCTATCTCTGGACTCCAGCAGTCGCCCCAACGGACACACATCGGCAGTTTCCATGGTGCACATTGGAATCTCTCAGTTGGTTTTGGAGACTCCTAAGCCTGGCCACTGAGTGTCCGTGTGTGTCAGACCCCCCCCACCCCCCCCCACCCTCTCTCTGTATCAAGTCATTCACTGCCTGGTCACCTTCCCTGAGCTTGAGCCTAGCGCCCCCTTGTGCTGGAGTCTGGAAGCGACACTGTGTTTATGTGAGGACCTACACTGTGTGTATTTGACGTTGTATATGTATGTGTGTGAGTGACGCTGTACATGTTTGTGTGTATGAGTTACGCTGTGTGTATGAGTTACACTGTGTGTGTGTGTGTGAGTGATGCTGCGTTGTGTGCAAGGAGTGACGCTGTGTGTGAGTGATTCTGTGTGTGTGTGAGTGACGCTATGTGTGAGTGACGCTGTGTGTGAGTGAAGCTGTGTATGTGCGCAAGTGATGGTGTGTATGTGTGTGTGTGTGTGTGTGAGTGACGCTGTGTGTGTGAGTGATGCTGTGTGTGTGTGTGAGTGACGCTGTGTGTGTGAGTGATGCTGTGTGTGTGTGTGTGTGTGAGTGACGCTGTGTGTGTGAGTGTGCTGTGTGTGTGTGTGAGTGACGCTGTGTGTGTGTGTGTGTGTGAGTGACGCTGTGTGTGTGTGTGGAGTGACGCTGTGTGTGAGTGACGCTGTGTGTGAGTGATGCTGTGTGTGTGCGCAAGTGATGGTGTGTATGTGTGTGTGTGTGAGTGACGCTGTGTGTGAGTGTTGCTGTGTGTGTGTGTGAGTGATGCTGTGTGTGTGAGTGACGCTGTGTGTGTGAGTGACACTGTGTGTTATCCTGACAGTACGGCCCTCACTCAAACCACACGGACTTCACCACGGCAGCGGGACCCCCGTTACAGTGCCAGGCCCCGACGCTCAGCAGCATCTTGCCCACCAGCGTCCAGCTCAGCTGGGAGGTCAGTCACCACTGTGTGTGGGGTGGGGGGGCAGTCTGTGTGCCTCAAGCAGAGAGTTTCTGTGTGGGGGGGCAGTGTGTGTGTGGGTGGGTGGGGGAATGTGTGTGTGGGAGGCGGGGAGTGTATGTGTGTGGGGGGGGCATGTGTGTGGGAGAGGGGGGGAGTATGTTTGTGCGAGGGGGGGAGTGTGTGTGAGAGGGGGGGGAGTGTGCGTGTGAGGGGGGAGTGTGCGTGTGGGAGAGGCGAGTGTGTGTATGGGGGTCGGAGTGTGTGTGTGGGAGGGGGACCGTGTGTGGGGGTGGGGGAGGGAGCTGTTGGGTCACTCGGGTTGTGGGATAGGGGGGTCGTTATCGGGGGATTGTCGGCCAGGACCCCGTGGGGAAGGGGAGGTGGGGGTAACGTGTGCTGACCAGGCCCCCGCGGCACAGGTTGAGGGGGAGTGGGGGTTCGCGTGCCTCGGCCCCGCTGTGTGACTGTGCCGGGGTTTGCTGTTGACAGAGCCCTGAGGAATGCGGGGCTGACGTGACCGAGTACCGGCTGGAGTGGGGGGAGGACGAGGCCTCACTGGAGCTGCTGTACTGTGGGGCTGACACCAGCTGTGAGGTCCACAGCCTGAGCCCCGCCACCCACTACTGCTACAGGCTGCAGGTAACAACAACAACAACAGTCTGCATCCACACAGCGCCCGCCCGGCACATGGGGCAGTGGCTCAGAGCGCTTAAACAGTGGCGGAGCCCGACCCCGAGCCAGAGGGAGGTGACCCTAGGCACAGTCTGAAAGAGGGGAAGGAGGTGGGGTCGTGGAGGAGAGATTGAGGGAGAGACACAAGGGGGAGAGAGAGAGAGAAGGGAATGGGGTTAGAGTAGAGAGCTCCAGTGGGGAAGTGAGCCCCAGCACAGACACGATGGGGAGAGAGAGAGAGAGAGAGAGAGCAGGGAATGGGGTTAGAGTAGAGAGCTCCAGTGGGGAAGTGAGCCCCAGCACAGACTCGATAATAATAATAATCCTTGTATTTGATATAGCGCTTTTCACGTCGGGAGGACGTCCCAAAGCGCTTCACAGAACACACTGTCAAGTGAATTGACTGTATATTTGTGGGCGAACACGGCAGCCAATTGCGCACAGCAATGTCCCACAAACAGTCGTAGATTGAAAATGACCAATTTATTATTGTTTTGGGTTTTGGAGGGAATATTATTAGGCTCTGTGTGGAGTAAGGAAACTTGCCCAAGGTTTCGCCCTCTGCCTGGAATTGAACTCAGGTCTCTCACTTGCAAAGCGAGTGCTCTAACCACTGAGCTACAGGACTCCACAACTGAGCTACAGGACTGAGCTACAGGATAGGGAGAGAGAGAGAGATAGCAGGGATTAGTGGATAAACGGTCCTCGATCTCTGGAAGTCTGAGGCGAAGAGAAATCAGATGTGCAGATTGTGGTTATTTCTCTGTTCGTGGTAATGTTGTTTCAGTTTAGAAACGACTTCAGTGCAGATGGCGCTCAGTGTCTGAGCACTGCTCTCAACACTAATAATAATAATAATCATAATTACTGCACTTTACAGCACGCACCTGCTCCCTCGAAATAGCTTAGTGTCTAGAGTTTAGAAGGTTGAGGTGTTGATCTGATTGAGGTGTTTAACATGATAACGGGATTTGACAGGATAGCGACTGAGAAACTATTTCCTCTGGTGCGGGGAATCCAGAATAAGGGGGCACGGTTAGCAGGTTAGACTCCAGCGGTGGGCTCTCCCCAAGCCTTGGCTCTTGCCAACCTGCGCCTAATACTTTCCGGAATTGGGTAAGCAGGAATGGACCCCTCCAGGGAGAGAGAGAGAGAGAGCGCATTTCATTCCAACAATCTAGCTCTGGAATTTAATAATAATCCTTGCATTTGACCCAGCGCCTTGTCACGTCTTCAAGACATCTCAAAGCACTTCACAGAATACACTGTAAAGTGTAGTGACTGTGTATTTTGTGGGCGAAATGCGGCAGCCAATTGCGCACAGCAGATTTCCATTTCCATGTGTAGGTGGGATGTATGGGATTTTCTCAGCTTGGTTTGGAGACATGGTGATAGGTTTCCACGTATGTCAGACACCTGGCTGACCCTTGTCCTTTCTTCCTGTGTGTCTCAGGCCAGTAACCAGGCGGGGGTGGGCCCCTACAGTGGGCTGCTGAGCCACACCACCCCCCCCTGTGTGCCCGCAGCTGTCTCTAACCTGGTGGTCCTAGGCTGCGAACACCCAGATCCCAGTCTGGCGCCCACCACCACCTGCCTGGCCCTCAGCTGGGACGAGCCGGACCACAATGGCTCCCAGATCCTCTCCTACAGCCTAGCCCTGGAGGACAGCCAAGTCCCACTGGGCAACGTCACCAGCTATCTACTGCAGGACCTGCTGCCAGACACAGCGTACAGGTAACTCACACTCACCCCAGCTCTTGCACACTCACACTCAACCCTCACTCTAGCCTCTGCTCACACTCACACTGCTCACACTCACTCTGGCCTCTGCTCATGCTCACCCCGCACACTCACACTGGCCCTCCACTGGCACTCAGTCACGCTGGCTCTTGGAACAACAACAACAAAATTACACTTATAGAGCGCCTTTCACGTTGGGAGGACGTCCCAAAGCGCCTGACAGTCAGGTGTCGGGGCCCGAGCATGGGGGGAGGGGGGCTGTAGGGGTGAGGGAAGGCAGAGAGGTGGGAGGAAGACCAAAGGCACTATCAAAGAGAAGGGTCTTGAGACCGGCCTTGAAGGAGGCAAGGGAGGAAGCGAGGCGAAGGGACCGTGGGATGGAGTTCCAGAGTGTGGGGGCAGAGAGGCTGAAAGCCCGGCCACCGATGGTAAGGGCGGGAGACATAGAGCAGCCGGAGCCTGATGAACGGAGGGAGCGGGCAGGTTGGTAGGGAGTCAGCAGGTCAGAGAGGTAGGAGGGGGCGAGGCCATGGATGGCCTTAAAGGTGAGGATGAGGATCTTGAATTCCATCCTCTGGGGGATGGGGAGCCAGTGAGGGTGGGAGTGATGGGGTCACGGAGCCTGGTGTGCGAGAGCACACGAGCTGCAGAGTTTTGGATGATCACAGTGGCCTTTGCACACTCACACTGACCCCGGCCCTCGCACACTCACTGTCACACCACCACATGAGTCGACAAACAAATCAGCGTGTGTGAGTGTGAGCCTAACGCAGGCATCAGCTGTGATATTAATCCTGTCCTTGGACCATCTGCCAGGGCGGTAACACAGCCTCAGAGCCAGGAAATAAACATCGGCAGCAACAATAACAATAATAACTCACAGGCTGCTCACCCGGTGATCAGCCAGTGCCGTGCCGGCCAGTGCCGTGCCGGCCAGTGCCGTGCCGGCCAGTGCCGGCTCAATCCATCCACTTTCCATCCCATTTCTCTCCACAAATGACCAATACATCAGTGTCAAATAAATAACCACATGCACATCACCCACTAGACAGTTTCTCTCCTGGTGTTATGGCTGACATTTCCCCAGATTAAGTGCCTTGTTTACTTCGTGGCTGTCTGTCTGTTGGACACTGCTGTGGGGAATTTGGGTGCCACGTTTCACCCACAAATGCATAAGTCAATAAGTCACCGCACTTTTCTGTGAATCCTGTGAAGAGTTTAACGGCTCATCCTAAGGACGGCACCATCGACAACACACTGAGCCGGGCTGACACACACACACTGAGCCGGGCTGACACATACACACTGAGCCGGGCTGACACACACACACTGAGCCGGGCTGACACACACACACTGAGCCGGGCTGACACATACACACTGAGCCGGGCTGACACACACACACTGAGCCGGGCTGACACACACACACTGAGCCGGGCTGACACATACACACTGAGCCGGGCTGACACATACACACTGAGCCGGGCTGACACACACACACTGAGCCGGGCTGACACACACACACACACTGAGCCAGGCTGACACATACACACTGAGCCGGGCTGACACACACACACTGAGCCGGGCTGACACATACACACTGAGCCGGGCTGACACACACACACTGAGCCGGGCTGACACACACACACTGAGCCGGGCTGACACATACACACTGAGCCGGGCTGACACATACACACTGAGCCGGGCTGACACATACACACTGAGCCGGGCTGACACATACACACTGAGCCAGGCTGACACACACACACTGAGCCAGGCTGACACACACACACTGAGTTAGGCTGTCACACAGACACACACACACGCGCACACACACACTGAACCACGGTGACACAAACACACACTGAGCCGGGCTGTCACACACACTGAGCCGGGCTGTCACACACACTGAGCCGGGCTGTCACACACACTGAGCCCGGCTGTCACACATGATGTTAATAATGTGAAACTCGGTGCTGGTGACTGTGTGAGATTATCCAGGTGTTTGCTGTGTGAGCTCTCCCGAGCTGATTGCTGGGTTGTGTTTTCCCGGTGACAGGCTCCGGATCCAGGCGGTGAATGCGGTGGGAGCAGGACCCTTCAGCCAGACAGTGAGGACCAGGACACGTCCCCTACCCCCCACGCCCCCCCGGCTGGAGTGTGCGGCTTTGGGGCCCCAGAGCCTGAAGCTGAAGTGGGGGGACAGCAGCAACACCAAAGCCATAGCTGCCGACACCGAGACCACCTACCTGCTCCAGGCCGAGGACAAGAACGGGAGGTGAGAGTGGAGCCCTGTGACTCAGTGGTCAGAGCCCTCGTCTCACAAGCCAGAGGACCTGGGTTCGATTCCCGGGCAGAGCAAAACCTTAGGCAAGTTTCCTTACTCCACACACACGCCCCTGTTTACCCAGTAGTAAGTAGGTACCCGCTTGTTAGTTGATTGGTGGAGCACTTTCCAGGGGGTAATACTCGCTCCAAAAAAATAATTTGATCACTGAATCCACGACTGTTTGTGGGGACACGGCTGTGCGCAACTGGCGGACGTGTTTTGCCCACAAAATACAGTCACTACACTTTACATTATATCCTATGAAGCGCTTTGAAACATCTCAATGACCTGATAAAATGCTATAACAAATGCAAGGATTATTATTTTTATATAGATTTACCTGCGGCGTATGGGGGAAAGAGCAGGCAACGGGTTTAAAGAGTGGAGAACTCCAGTGGGGATAGATTTTCCGCATTGTGTCTGTGCTGGGATTTGCCGGGGTGGGGGGTGGGGGTGACGCAGGAGGAGAAGTGTGATGCTGGGGAGTGTGATGTGGAGGGGGTAGGAGGTGATGTGTATGTGTGTGTCTGGGGGGGTGGAGGGTGATGTGTGTGTGTGGGGGTGGGGGATGATGTGGAGAGGAGTGTGTGTGTGGTGTGGGAGGGTGATGTGGGGGGTAATTTACCTCACCCCCCAGCCTGGCTGTGCTGTGCTGACGTTGGGTGCTGTTTGCCCAGGTTTCTGTCTATTTACCGGGGCCCGAGCCACACGTACAAGGTGCAGCGCCTGACCGAGTCCACGTGTTACAGCTTCCGTATCCAGGCCGGCAATCAGGCCGGCGATGGGGCGTTCTCCCCTGTCTTCACCTTCAGCACCAGCAAATCCCTGCCCCCCACCAGCAAAGGTCAGTGTGTGTGTGTGTGTGAGAGTGCGTGTGCATTTCAGTGTGCACGTGTGTCCGTGTGTGTGTGTGTCCGTGTGTGTGTGTGTGTGTGCGCGTCCGTGTGTGTGCGTGAGTGTGCTCGTGCGTGTCTGTCCGTGTGTGCTTGCGTGTGTCTCGAAGAGTTGATAAGGCGCCATATCAAATGTAAGGATTATTATTATTATTATCTGTGCGTGTGCGTACGTGTGTTTGTGCGTACGCACGTGTTTGTGTGTGGAGGGGCGGGGGGGTGTGGGGGTGCGTGGCCACTTTTATCTGGGTGATTTGTCTCGGCCTGAACATCAGGAGAGAGAAACTGCCTTCTCTGTACCTACGGTGCTGTGGGATTGGTACAGGTTAAGGGGGGGTTCGGGGGTGAAACGTCTCATTCTGAAGCCGGTGTCTCCAACAGTGCAGTGCCCTCTCCCCCCAACCCTGCACTGGAGCATCAGCCTGGACTGTGTGAGCTCAGAGACCCCTGACATGTTTCGGGTGGTGGTGGGGGAAAGGGAGGGGGTTGACACACGCACTGCGCTCACTCTGCCTGTTGCTCCCAGCTCCGCGGGTCAGCCAGCTGGACGGCAGCTCGTGCGAGGTCTCGTGGGAGAGCCTCCCGCCGATGAGGGGAGATCCCATCAGCTACGTCCTGCAGGTCACGGTGGGCCGGGAGCTCGAGTACAAACAGGTAGGGCCCGGCTCAGGGGTGGGGGCGGGGTGGGGGGGTTGGGGTTGATCTGTGCGGACAAACCCTCTCTCCCCCCCCCTCCCCCCTCCACCCCACCTCTATTCCCGTACCGATTTCCAGATCCTGTTCCCAGGATTTTAATCTTCCTGACCAATAAGAGTAAGAGTCCCGTAGCGCAGTGGATAGAACGCTTGCCTCGCAAGCGAGAGGAACCCGTGTTTGATTCCCGGGCAGGGTGAAACCTTGCAACAACATCAACTTGCATTTATATAGCGCTCCTCACGCAGGGCAGCGCCTCAGAGCGCTGAGGCAAGTTTCCTTTACTCCTCACGCCTCTGTTTACCAGCAGGAACCCGCTGATTGGCGGATCACTTGACGGGTGTAATAATCCCTTCAAAAAAAATTGGTCACTCAATCCACGACTATTTGTGAGACAATTGTGGGCAATTGTCTGCCGCGTTTCACCCCCAATATATACAACAACAACAACAACAACAACAAGATTGCAGTTATAGAGCGCCTTTCACGTCAGGAGGATGTCCCAAGGCGCTGTACAGTTGGGTCAGGACCCGAGCAGTGGGGGAAATGGTCAGGGTGAGGGGAGGGAAGGGAGGGAGCGAGGAGGGGGGAAATGGTCAGAGTGAGGGGAAGGAAGGGAGGGCGCGAGGAGGGGGTAGAGAGTCGAGAGGGGAGCTGAAGGCACGGTCAAAGAGAAAGGTCTTGAGACAGGCTTTGAAGGAGGAAAGCGAGGAGGCGGCGAAGGCACTGGGGGATAGATATACAACCTTTTTGTACAAAATATACACTGTAAGGTATATTCTGTGAAGCGCTTTGAGACGTCTCAACGACACGAATGCGAGGATTATTATTATCAATGTTATGTCACAGGCTACGCTGTACACTGACACTGAATTCACGTCGCTGCAATGAAACCTTTTGCGACATCTCGAGCCAAGAGAAGTATCTGCAAAAAACATAATGGTTTATTGATGTGTGAGTCAGGCTGTCAGCACGCTCCCTGCTGTCTGAACCCCCTCACCTGTCCCCATGAAACATCCGCCTCTATTAGAGACCGTGGCTAGCGTAGACGCACATGGATTTTTCTGTTAGGTTGACAGAACACTTTGGAGCCTGTGTTCTTTCTGTAACTATCTCAAAATCCCAAACCAAAAAAAACAATAACAATTTGGTCATTCAATCCACGACTGTTTGTGAGACGCTGCTGTGCGTCCCGTGCAAATTGGCTGCTGTGTTTCGCCCACAAACATACAGTCAAATCACTTCTCGGTGTATCCTGTGAAGCGCTTTGAGACGTCTGGAAGATGTGATAAGGCACTGTATCAAATGCAAGGATTATTATTATTATCTTTGGTTCATTGTCGAGGAGGTCGACCTCCTCAACCTACCTGATCTGTCCTTAAAATTCTCTGAACCCGTGCGCAGCTTAAGCATCAGGTTCGATCCCCAGTTATCCTTCCTCCCCCACATCCAGTCCCTGACCAGGACCACTTTCTTCTACCTCCGCCACATGGCTCGTCTCCAACAATACCTCACTCCAAAGGTGCCGAAACCCTGGTCTGTGCCTTTGTCACCTCTCGGCTGGACGACTCTAACGCCCTCCTCACCGGTCTCCCCTCCTCCACTATCCACAAAATTCAGCTCATTCAAAACTCCGTCCCCCGCATTCTCACCCGCAAACCTCGTACTCCGATTACTCCAGTCGTTGCCAAACTCCACTGGCTCCTGTCACAGAGCGGATCCACTTCCAGATCCTCACTCTGGTATTTAAATCCCTCCATTTCTTGGCCACACTCCCCCCATCTCTCTAACCTCTCTCCGCACAGCAGCACCCTCTGCCTCTGAGTCCCCCGAATCCTCCGCTCCACCATCGGCGGCCGTGTCTTAAGCCACTACACCCCAAAATTTTGGAACTCCCCCCCTCAACCTCGCCCCCTCCTTCCCCATCTTCAGGTCGCGCCTGAAGATCTTCCTTTTTGACCGCGCGTACAGTCACCTTCTCCTTCCCCCCGGCTCGGCCTCGGGCTCCGCCATTGTTAAGCTCTGAGACGCTGCCCAGCGTGGAGGGCGCGGTATAAATGCAAGCAGTTGTTGTTATTGTCGTTGTTGTTCATGAGACAAAGTTCAAAACAATATTTTTTTTGTATTTTATACATCATATTTTGTGCGCAATTGGCTGCCGCGTTTCGCGCCCAAAATACACAATCACTCCATTTTACAGTGTATCCTGTGAAGCGCTTTGAGACATCTCGACGATGTGATAAGGCGCTGTGTCAAATGCAAAGATTATTATTAATAATTATTAATAATTAATAATAATAAACAGCATTATTTACTGATTTACTGAACAGATATCATAGAGCAGAGAGAGCTCTCACTCTGACAAAACACATGACGTATCGGGAGATTTGGATCATCACAGTGCTCCCTCCCTCCCTCCCTCCCTCCCTCCCACCCTCCCTCCCAATCCTCTCTCCCAATCCTCTCTCCCAACACAGGAACAGGAGGAGGCCATTCAGTCCCTCGAGCCTGTTTCGCCATTCTGTTAGATCATGGCTGATATGTACCTCGACTCGAATTACCAGCCGGCCCCATATCCCTTGTTTTCCTGACCTCAAAAAAATTACCTAACATCGGGTCTGTGCTGGAGCTCTCTAACCCCATTCCCTGCTCTCTCTCTCTCTCTCTCTCTCTCTCTCTCTCCCCGTGGTGTCTGTGCTGGGGCTCGCTCCCCCACTGGAGCTCTCTACTCTAACCCCATTCCCTGCTCTCTCTCTCTCCCCATGATGTCTGTGCTGGGGCTCACTCCCGCACTGGAGCTCTCTACTCTAACTCCATTGCCTCTGTCCTGCCTAATGCCGTTGTCCTGTTTTCCCGGCAGGTGTACAAGGGAAAGGACACGACATTCCAGCTCTCGGGACTCCAGGCGAGCACGGATTACCGATTCCGAGTGTGTGCATGCCGCCGGTGCCTGGACACAGCCCACGAGCTGTCCGGGCCCTTCAGTCCCTCAGCCGTGTTCACGGTTCGGCGCAGAGACTCGGAGCCGTGCGGGGGGAGGGTGGGGGGGGCTCGGAGGTAGCCAAAGTCCGCAGTATGATGCCGAGCGACGAACAGTTTGCCGCGCTCATTCTGACCGGCTTTGCCACCCTCTCCATCCTGATTGCCTTCGTCCTGCAGTACTTCATCATGAAATAGCTGCGGGGGCGGGGGGCCGGGGGGGGGGGCGTGGAGGAAGGGAGGGGGTGGGAGTGGGGGAGGAATCGCAACTATAACTCTCAACGCGTCCATTTAGCCAGCTCTGCACGCAATAACGCCAGCCAGGCAAGTTCATCATTTACATATTCCTTTCTCGACGACAATTAATCACCTTCGGGTTCATTTATTTTATTTTTTCTCTTTCTTTCTCTCTCACTCTCTCTCCCTCTTTTTTGTTGCGTTAATCTTTACGCCGTCTTTGCGGTGACGAGTTTGTGAGCGCGCGTGTGCGCATGTGGCCTGGCGTGTCAGAGGGGAGGAGAGGGGTTAGAGGGTGGGTGAGTGGGGCGGTGGGCGGGGATGTTAAGATGTATTTGCCCTCCCAGGTTGCCGATAGAGATAGTCAACGCCGCTTATCGCCTTGGCCTCTCTCTGTGTGAGTGCTCACTGCCTGTACACAGCCAGCGAGACTTTAGCGATAGTTATTTTTGTAACTGGATCAATTTATGCTGAGTTTGGGGTGGGTCCTGGCCTCACCCCATCCCTCTACACTCACATTCCAAATCCAGCACGGCCTGCCGACAGTCACTACACCTCACCGCACAGCCAATGCCGCTGAGTGTCCTTCGCGACGTGATAAGGTGCTATAATCAATCTCAAACACAACCCTTCTTATTACTGTTGTTGCTGTTGTTGCTGTGTTGCTGGTTACACTGAGAGCTGAGCTGGTTTTGCTCGGGTGTTGGTGAGATGGGGGTCGGGGTGAGGGAGTGGGGGGGAAGGAAGAGCAAAGCAGCCAGACTTTGCCGAGACACTACCGGGAGAGGGAGAGCTTTACCCTATTCGCTTCTCATTGACGTTCCCATTTCTGCTCGGAGGGTTACTGTAATTACTATAATAATAATAATATTACTCCAGCCCACGAGACAAGCCGCGCGGTAATTGGCGGCAAATCCTTAAATTGTTCCCGCTCACAGACTGTGTAAAAGTGGCTTTTGGGATTTTCCGTCTCGGATACAACTGTTCCACGGGCTGAGACTTGGGGGAATTTCAAGCCTCTGAGCAGCCACCGATGTCCTCTAATCACAGTGAGGTGAGGGTGGGCTTGTCCGACACAATCCATTGGAGAAAGAGAGATTTAGTTTTGAGACGTTTTTGTTTCAGTGATTCGATTATTTCCCGTGGTGGGAGGTGGGGTGGGGGTGGGAGAGAGGGTGGGGGGAGGGGGAGGGGGGAGGCTGAGAATATTTCCCTAAGTCAAACATTTTTTAAATGATCGTTTGCACTTTATAAGCTGGCGAAACTTCAACTTTCGGCCAAAAAAAAGCTGCCTTTTTCCGTCATTCTCTGTCTCTCTCTGTCTCTCAGTCTCTGTCTCTCTCTGTCTCTCAGTCTCTCTCTCTGTCTCTCAGTCTCTCTCTTTCTCAGTCTCTGTCTCTCTCTCAGTCTCTCTCTCAGTCTCTCTCTCTGTCTCTCTGTTTCTCTCTCAGTCTTTTTCTGTGTCTCTCTCAGTCTCTCTCTCTCTCTGTGACGCTGACTGTCAGTGGACAACAGGAAACACAGGGCTGATTCTTGGTCAAGTTGTGTGTGGGGGTGTCCTCTGACCTCCAGCCTTCATTAGCCCCCACTTCTCCACACACATACATACACACACATTCCCATACACCCACCCCCATATACACACACACACACATACATACATACATACATATGCATGCACACACACATTCACACACACGCGCACACATACACATACATACATATACACGTAAACATAACACACACACAAATCCCAATCGTGCCACAAAATAATTGCACCGAGCAGAACACAAACCAATCATTCATTCCGTTTGTTCCTCGCGCCCCAGCACCACCACACTGTCCCATTCCCCGCCCCCGCCTCACTGATAAAGACAAACACTAAAACACAGGCGTTGCTGCTTTATACAGGTTTATATTTGATGAGTTGTATTCCAGTTATATGTTGTTGTGTTATTGGGAATCGGCCCCCACTCCATTCCACTCCACCCTAACCTACCCTCCCCGAACGAGACGGGCCCCATCGCCAGCTCTCTTTTAGGGGAGGCGGGGGGTGAAGGGGGCAACTTGGAAAATGCGCCATTTCCTAAATGTATTGGATGTACAGAGATTGTCCACAAAGTCATGTTACCCCCTTTACTGAATACAATGAAGTAACTTCTACACACAATCAATTATCATCATTCTTCCACATATTTCAGTTGTTGGGTCAGTGCAATGTAAAAAAACAAAAGGGGGGATAACAGGACTTTGTGGACATCTGTCTATCTGTTGGGCTCAGGCACATTGACTCAGAAAGCTGGGGTTGAAGACCCCACTGTGTTCCCCCCAACCCCCCACCCGGGGCTGAGGGGAGGATCCTGGGCTGTGGGCATTATACATGCAGAGGTTAATGTGATGGTAATTAAGTGAATCGGTTGCATTTTTCCACCCCACCCCCCTTTTTTCGGTCAAAATTTGGTACAGAGCAGTTACATGTTCCCCAGGAACCCCTCACCCCAATTAGCTTTAATCTCGTTCCCCCCCACTGCCATCCTCATTGTCTCTCCTCCTCCCCCATCTTCAGAAAGCTGCTTTGTGGATGAGACAGTCTGCAGTGATTGTCTGGGAACGTATCTACGGTTATTTCTGTTTATTTAGTGTTTTAGAACATCCAGAATTTGGCAAAGGGTTGAACCCAGCCTTGACTTAGACGTTGGTTTCCTGGCGTTTCTTAACAGAGGAAAAACACGGCAACTAAATATCAACAATTTCCCAAATTCTGGACGGTCTAAAATAGTCATAAACGGGAACAAATCCAACCCTGGACGAAATGTCTCCCCAGTCAGTGATCTCTCAATGCTGCTCAGTGCTACCACTGACCCACTGATATGCCTTTACCCTTAAGCTTAACCCTTAACCTTAACCTGACAACACTACCATTCACTGGGGCCATTCAGCTGTGGATTTAGCTGTTGTTTGACCTGAGACTGAACGTACCCCACTGAGAGCTTAAGGCTTTAGGAATCCGTGTTCATTGGGGCTGAGTGTGTATGAGTGTGTGTGAGCGAGCGTGAGTGAGCGAGCGTGAGTGAGTGAGAGGAGTAGTGTCACACCTCAGTAACCATCTTGGGACAAAACCAAGAATAGTGGGAACACGGGGAAGCTCCCGGAGTGGGAAAGCCTGTTGAGGGATGAGCGTTCCATTCTCACCTGGCCCCCACCCCACCCCACCCCCCAGGATTCCTTTGGTCTTAGGTCACAACGCAACAGTGTTTATTGATACAGTCACACTCACTCGCACACTCGCTCGCTCAGACACTCACTCGCACATTTGCACACTCAACAAGCAAACTCTCGCACTCACTCAAATCCCAGCACCAAATCCGGGGATGGAATCCCCCACCCCAATATAACCGGTCCTTAACCTCTGATAAGAAGGGGTTCAGGGGGGGATGTGGACAGAACCCCGAGAGAGGTACGGTGTCGGTGATGGTGCACTTTAAAGCTGGAGAGAGAGAGGGGTGGGGGGTGGGGAGGGGTGTGACGTATATTTTTTTATGTGACTAAAAGTGCCTCTGGGTGTGTCCTGGTCATGAGATGGTGCTACACTCAATCTCCATGTTCCATTTGAACGAGTAGTGTCCTTGTTGAGTGCGGGAGTGGGGTGGGGTTGAGGGTGGGGGGGATGGAGCGGGGGGGTAAATATTTTTGATATATATATATATCACAAGGGTTTGATCATCCAAATCATTTCAAATGTCTCAGTGTGTGTGGGGGGTTACCACAATAAGGCTTGCACAGGATTGTATGGTAATGGAACTGGCTCCGGTTGTTCCTCTTAGGCTCTATACTTGGCTCTGACACGCCACGGCCGTCACCGGTGGGAGCAATTGACATCGAAAGGCCTCCATGGTGTCTGACCGGCTGAACAAACAGCTCCCACAGCAAACAGCTCCCACAGCAAACAGCTCCCACAGCAAACAGCTCCCACAGCAAACAGCTCCCACAGCAAATAACTGGCTGAAAAGAGTCAATGAGATTTCAGCCAAGAAGGAGGCCACTTGGGCCATTGTATTGTATTGGTGCTCGCTCCCCCACTGGAGCTCTCTAACTCCATTCCCCGCGCTCTCTCTCTCTCCCCCCATGGTGTCTGTGCTGGGGCTCGCTCCCCCACTGGAGCTCTCTAACTCCATTCCCCGCGCTCTCTCTCTCTCCCATGGTGTCTGTGCTGGGGCTCGCTCCCCCACTGGAGCTCTCTAACCCCATTCCCCGCTCTCTCTCTCTCCCCCCATGGTGTCTGTGCTGGGGCTCGCTCCCCCACTCTCTCTCTCCCCCCATGGTGCCTGTGCTGGGGCTCGCTCCCCCACTGGAGCTCTCTAACCCCATTCCCCGCGCTCTCTCTCTCCCCATGGTGCCTGTGCTGGGGCTCGCTCCCCCACTGGAGCTCTCTAACCCCATTCCCCGCGCTCTCTCTCTCCCCATGGTGTCTGTGCTGGGGCTCGCTCCCCCACTAGAGCTCTCTACTCTAATCCCATTTGGATTCTGTTTCATAGTTTGAAATATACACCTCCTGCCTGTAGCAGGGATGAACAAGTGGGGGTGCGTTAACTAACTCGGGGTAATATCACACGACACATGCAAGGAGGCGCTTTCACAAGCTGGCAATTGATTGCTGGTCTGGGAACGTCCCACAAACAGGTAACATGAAGCCAAAACCTACACAGAACCCCCTTTTCCCCATCTCCCTCGTTTGGGGGATAGCTCTGAGCATCAGTTCCATTGACTTTACCTTGTAGCGAGTGGGGTGGGGTGCTGGGTGGGGGTGGGGGGAGCTATAAGAGAAAGTGTATTAGCAATATCTTTTGCATCAAAGACAAAAAAAGTGACTTGACGACTGTCAGACCAGTACGATCAGCCAACGATCAGCATTCCTCCCCTCAAAGCAGTTCCATTTCCCACCTCATTCAGTGCAGTGGGAG